TGCCACGCGAAGGCCAGGAGCTGGACTTGGTTGTCAGAGGCTATTGGAGACGCACGCCGTTAGGGTATTTATATAGGCATTTGGATGTAAGGCCCACTATATTTTTACATGACGTTGAATGTGTTCTGTTATGACACTGACAGCCGGAACAGCTGTGTTTGTCCATGAGTTGAACACATTTGTAGTTCTGTTTGTTATCCGCTGTTCAAAGCTATTCAATAAATTTAGACCATTGAAACGACTGTTACAACTGATAATGTAGTAACTAACTGATAATGTATCACCAACCGATAATGTCACACAAATTGACCGATACTGAATCACTAACCGATAATGTAACAGAAATTGACCGATATAGTGTAGTAAATGTTACGACACTATCGGTCAATATTTGTTACATTATCGGTTAAGACCGATAATGTAACAACAATCGACTGATAGTGTAGAACATTTTTACTACACTATCTACGGTGGCCCACAACTGTCACGGCAAGCGCAAAAGCGCCACGGCAAGCGCAACAGCGCCGCGGCAAAAGAAAAAGCGCCACGGCAAGCGCAAAAGCGCCACGGCAAGCGCAACAGCGCCGCGGCAAAAGCAAAAGCGCCACGGCAAGCGCAAAAGCGCCGCGGCAAAAGCAAAAGCGCCACGGCAAGCGCAAAAGCGCCGCGGCAAGCGCAAAAAGCGCCGCGGCAAAAGCAAAAGCGCCGCGGCAAGCGCAAAAGCGCCGCGGCAAAAGCAAAAGCGCCGCGGCAAAAGCAAAAGCGCCACGGCAAGCGCAAAAGCGACACGGCGAAAGCAAAAGCGCCACGGGTTTATTGGGAAGGGGCGTGATCATACATGCCGCTACTACATCAACAAATAAAATGGGAAGGAGAATGGCCGCCACCAGGACTTCTATTAACAACAGACTTTAATTCTTTGAGAAGTGATTTTATGGCTGAGAATATTTTCTCAGCCATAAAATCAGCAAGGAAAACCGGTCAGTGAAGCAACGTTCAGGGAATAAATCGTCGATATTAATTTGTTGTAGGATAATTCCAAGATTATTCCAAGAGAGTTGCTGCCGTGAATCAGAGTTTATAAAGGAGAGGGAAAGTAGGACTCGCTATCAGCACCATCAGGGCTGTTCCTCATTTCTTTACATTTCGTGGGATGCAAACAATTACGAGGACGGGAGGCTCTGTGAGCTGATGCATTTTTTTGAAGAGTTTTTTTTTCCTTCCGAATAGCATGCAGAGAAGAGTTCCGTTAATTTGAGCCTTAGTTCACCGGTGTGTATACCAGTGTAGGCACACAAGTGAGCTGCCCAGAGTGTATGAGTTTAGTTTTTTTTCTTTTTCAGTATATCATACACATCTAGGAAGTCGATTAAGGCTCTCCTGCAGGGCTGCGGTAGTGGGTGGGTAAGGCTTGTCAACACGTAACTCGCCCGCGGGCCCATTAGGTTAGAAATTCCCAGAGAGCGGGAATTTCAAAACTCTTCCCTGAACGTTGCTTGCACTGACCGGTTTTCCTTGCTATTTTCTCAGCCATAAAATCACTTCTCAAAGAATTAAAGTCTGTGATTAAAAGAATTCATGGTGGCGGCCATAATCCTTTCCATTTAATTTTAGATGTAGTGGCGGCATGTATGATTAACCCCTTCCCAATAAACACGACTGAGTTGAAGAGAACTCACAAATCGAGAAATGGATCATTCTATTAGACAGTTGCAACGCTTTCGACAGAGGAGGTTACGCTGTGGATTTCATGTAATAGTAGGGGGGCCAATGTGTAGATTTGGGGTTCCCGTCGAAATTTCATGTTAATTTATGGCAACCATTAAAAATGTAATCTTATGAGTCCTGAGAACAAGAAAATTGATGTTGCCATTTTTTCCATTGACCTTTAGTGACCTTGACCTGAGGTCAAAGTTCATGGGTCATTTTCACCTAAAATTTGCCTTTCGGAAGGGTTTGCGAAGATTTTCGAGGCAAGTGAGCACATATTGTATTTGGTTGAGAGTTTCTCCGTTATAATAAATGTTATTATTAATGTATTTATGGGTTTTCCTGAAGAAAACATGGGAAAATGTCACTTTTGCCTGAAAAAAGCTGGGTTGTTTTGACCGTCTCACGCAGATTCTGCCCCCCCCCCCATGACCTCGACCATCGAGTGACGAAAAATAATGAAACTCGGTACATGCATAGAACAACATAACATGAACAAACCCAAGAAATTTCATGACTATGGGTCAAAGGGTTTTGGAATTACGGCTAATTAATTATTCATAAGCACGTATGGTAATTCAAATGTGTACACTACGTATATGGGGAAATTCAGTTTTGACAGAGTAGTGGGGGGCCAATGTACTTCCGTTGGCATTTCATGTTAATTTATGGCAACCTTTATAAATATAATCTTATGAGTCCTGAGAACAAGAAAATTGATGTTGCCATTTTTTCCATTGACCTTTAGTGACCTTGACCTGAGGTCAAAGTTCATGGGTCATTTTCACCTAAAATTTGCTTTTTCGGAAGGGTTTGCGAAGATTTTCGAGGCAAGTGAGCACATATTGTATTTGGTTGAGAGTTTATCCATTATAATAAATGTTATTATTAATGTATTTATGGGTTTTCCTGAAGAAAACATGGGAAAATGTCACTTTTGCTCGAAAAGAGCCGGGTTGTTTTGACCATCTCACGCAGATTCCGCCCCCCCCCCATGACCTCGGCCATCGAGTGACGAAAAATTATGAAACTCGGTACATGCATAGAACAACTTAACATGAACAAACCCAAGAAATTTCATGACTATGGGTCAAAGGATTTTGGAATTACGGCTAATTAATTATTCATAAGCACGTATGGTAATTCAAATGTGTACACTACGTATATGGGGAAATTCAGTTTTGACGGAGGGTAGCGCCGAAAATATTTCGCTGCGCGGCAACCTGTAGTTCGAATTTTATGTTTTTGGTATCAAAAGATGTGCAAGACTCGAGGCTAAAAAGTCAGGACAGCTCAGGCCGCGAAATAAATAACTTTTCAAGAGTATCGCGGGAAAAGTTGAAAGGGGGAAATCTGCCCCCCTTTTAGGGCCAAAATATGACCAACCCTTTAGTGCCTGGCATTTAAATATGAAATGTTGTAAAGTGTCCTCTGCAGTACCGCACTCACACAGGGTGTTTGTCGGTTGAGGAAAATCCCCACTTCTTCATAATGCGTTTGGTGCGAGCCATTTCAGAGCGGAGGTGATTTAAGCACCTCCAGGTCTTCCATCCTAATGCCACCGCCACAATCCACAAAACAGCCAAAGCCACGCATAATTATCGGGATTTAATAGCAACAGCGGCATCATTCCAGCACAGACGTCGACGCTTTTGAATCGCTGGCGGAAGCAAGTCAACTGAGCCTTATTCACAATCAGGCATGCAACTTTTCCTCAGATCAGCTGATTTCCTCTTATTTTATTCTCATTTCTGCCATTCAAAATTGAAAATCACTGTACAAAGTCTTCTGAATTTAGGAATTTCCTCTTTTTTGGTGAGTTTACAGTTGCATGCCTGCACAATGCGAAACTGTCGAAGTTCTTCCACAGTGGAGGCTGGAGATAAAGTTTCAACCCTGCTCTAGCCCTTGTGAGCCACAACATCGCCTCACTTAGCAACAAGATGGTCCTTGACCCCATTCCAAAGACCTGACATCGCCATATTGGAATCAAAGTGACTGCTGCTGTCTCTTCGCAACAATTCCATTCCACCGCTGTTTCAACTTCCAACTGTGAAGGCTTCACCAAAGAACTCAAACACCATCTAGCTGACATTGATCCAACCCCTGATAACTATGACACCGGTTTGTTGATGTGGTGGTGCAAGAACATCCCTAGGGGCTGCCGCACTGATTACATCCCAGGCTTAGCATCCCGTAATGCTGAACTTTACAGGATATAGAAATGCATGTATGAAAATGACTCTCTTGCTGTCGATACCATCTCATCTGGGGAGGAATTAATAACAGCCATATCAGAACAGCTTCAAAGCTTGTGGCAAACCCTTGTGGTAACCACCAATATGGCCAAGAAGCCAATATGGCCTCCAAGCCTGGAGCATATATAAAAAAAGCTCAGCCAAGTGAACAGCATTGTAACATCACCGCCAACCAAATAGCCCACAACAACTGCTATGTAAATGGTAAAGTGCCACGTTTTCCTAATAAGCGACCGAAAGCCAAGCTCCGCCAGAAAGACCCCGCCATCGACCTAATTGGCTTCATCAAATCCTTCTCTGCTTATGAACTTGCGACTGGCATAAATGAAGAACAGGAAATCAACCAAACTGGATAACATTTTCACCAAAGAACTGAAACATCTTGGACCAAACGCCTCAAATTGGTTACTCCAGCTCATCAACACCTGCCTCGCCACACAAACAATACTTAAAGTGTGGCAAAAGTCGAAGGTCATCGCCCTCCTAAAACCCGGGAAAGACCCAATGCATGTCAAAACTTATCGTCCCGAAGTCACACATTCAAGTTGCTGGAATATTTCCTCCTCAACCTTCTTGCCTCTTCATTGAGAAACAACTGATACAGGAACAGGCAGGCAGGCTTCTGTCCCGGCAAATCTACAACAGGAGAGCTTCTAAATCTCACTCAGTACATTAAGGACTGCTTCCATAAGAAAAAATAGATCACCGGCGCTGTCTTTGTTGATCTTACAGCTGCTTTTGACAGTGTTAACCGTTGCTGACTCCTTCAGAAGATCCTGAACATGAAGGCAGACCTGACCCTTACCCAGTTATTGGTGTTCTACTGAAGAACCATCGTTTCTTTGTAGTATTCAAGGGCAGAGTAGAGTACGTCTTCAAAGGAACGGTCCCCCAAGGGAAGACGTTGACCAATGCTCTTGACCAGTCACAGCAGTGCTACACTGTGAGTCACCTGAAAGCGATCAATCCTGCTATTAAGACCCAAGTGTGTGCCTCCTGGGTTGACCAGGCTGGTGGCGTCTCCCCCACTACATGAGATGCACCATCAAGCCTGCAGAAGCCTTACCTACAGGATCCAATGCAGGATGGAAGACCTGGAGGTGCTTAAATCACCTCCACTCTGGAGTGGCTCGCACCAAAAGAAGTGGGGATTTTCCTCAACCGACAAACACCCTGTGTGAGTGCGGTACTGCAGAGGACACTTTACAACATTTCATATTTAGATGCTAGGCACTAAAGGGTTGGTCATATTTTGGCCCTAAAAGGGGGGGGGGTGGATTTTCCCTCTTTCAAATTACTCTTGAAAAAATTATTTATTTCATGGCCTGAGCTGTCCTGACTTTTTAGCCTCGAGTCTTGCACATCTTTTGATACCAAAAACATAAAATTCGAACCACAGGTTGCCGCGCAGCGAAATATTTTCGGCGCTACCCTCCGTCAAAACTGAATTTCCCCATATACGTAGTGTACACATTTGAATTACCATACGTGCTTATGAATAATTAATTAGCCGTAATTCCAAAACCCTTTGACCCATAGTCATGAAATTTCTTGGGTTTGTTCATGTTAAGTTGTTCTATGCATGTACCGAGTTTCATAATTTTTCGTCACTCGATGGCCGAGGTCATGGGGGGGGGGCGGAATCTGCGTGAGATGGTCAAAACAACCCGGCTCTTTTCGAGCAAAAGTGACATTTTCCCATGTTTTCTTCAGGAAAACCCATAAATACATTAATAATAACATTTATTATAATGGATAAACTCTCAACCAAATACAATATGTGCTCACTTGCCTCGAAAATCTTCGCAAACCCTTCCGAAAAAGCAAATTTTAGGTGAAAATGACCCATGAACTTTGACCTCAGGTCAAGGTCACTAAAGGTCAATGGAAAAAATGGCAACATCAATTTTCTTGTTCTCAGCACTCATAAGATTACATTTATAAAGGTTGCCATAAATTAACATGAAATGCCAACGGAAGTACATTGGCCCCCCCACTATAAGGAACATAACACAGGCGAAGACTTTGGATATAGAATAAGAAAGAAATAAAGGGAGACACACTAAACAAAGGAGAAGTGTTATCGTTCAGATGCACAGTTCTAAGCTCTTCTATGAAAATTTGGTGGCTCTGAAAAGAGCCGTTTGCTTTGTTTCGAGTGAATACAGAACTATTTGATGCCGGAAACAAGCCCTCTTTCTGCCCTGCAGGCTGATTCTGCGATGATGTGGAAGACTGTCCACAGGGCAACTCATCATCGCTATCGCTAAGCATCAAGAGGTCTTGTTCGGCTTCTTGGTTTCTTGAGCCGGGGGTGGGTGGGCAAATGAGTTCTAGGTTCTAAGTTAATTTCTTTCTTTCTTTCTTATTCTATATCCAAACTCTGGGCAGCTCAATTGTGTGCCTACACTGGTATACACACCGGTGAACTCATGGGCGTCGCCAGGATTTTTTCTCAGAGGGGGGCAAAACATATTTTTCCCAAAAACTTCTTGTATTTCTGAACAAATTCTCGATTTCTCAGTTTTAGACGGGGGCAGGGACATTTTGCCCCCCCCCCCCAACTCATTAAATTTACTCCACTATGACTTCGCGCCCCTTTTTCTTTTCTTTTTTTCTTTCTTCCTTTTTTTGTGCTATTCCAGGGGGGGGGGAAAGCGCCCCCCTTGCCCCCCCCCCCTCGCGACGCCCATGGGTGAACTAAGCCTCAAATTAACGGAACTCTTCTCTGCATGCTAGTCGGAAGGAAAAAAACTCTTCAAAAAAATGCATCAGCTCACAGAGCCTCCCGTCCTCGTAATTGTTTTGCATCCCACGAAATGTAAAGGAATGAGGAACGGCCCTGATGGTGCTGATAGTGAGTCCCACTCCTTTATAAACTCTGATTCACGGCAGCAACTCTCTTGGAATAATCTTGGAATTATCCTACAACAAATTAATATCGACGATTTATTTCCTGAACGTTGCTTGCACTGACCGGTTTTCCTTGGCCTTGCTATTTTCTCAGCCATAAAATCACTTCTCAAAGAATTAAATTCTGTGCTTAATAAGAATTCCTGGTGGCGGCCATTCTCCTTCCCATTTTATTTTTTGATGTAGTAGCGGCATGTATGATTATGCCCCTTCCCAATAAACCCGTGGCGCTTTTGCTTTCGCCGTGGCGCTTTTGCTTTTGCCGTGGCGCTTTTGCTTTTGCCGTGGCGCTTTTGCGCTTGCCGTGGCGCTTTTGCGCTTGCCGCGGCGCTTTTTGTTTTGCCGTGGCGCTTTTTCTTTTGCCGCGGCGCTTTTTGTTTTGCCGTGGCGCTTTTTCTTTTGCCGCGGCGCTTTTTGTTTTGCCGTGGCGCTTTTTCTTTTGCCGCGGCGCTGTTGCGCTTGCCGCGGCGCTGTTGCGCTTGCCGCGGCGCTTTTGCACTTGCCGTGGCGCTTTTGCTTTTGCCGTGACAGTTGTGGGCCACCGTAACTATCGGTCAATTTCTGTTACATTATCGGTTAGTGATACAGTATCGGTCAATTTGTGTGACATTATCGGTTGGTGATACATAATCCGTTGGTTACTACATTATCAGTTGTAACAAACGATTACAAGAATGGCCCATCTTCCCTGGTCGAAAGGGTGGGGGGGATCCGCCCATCCCTGCGGGATTTACGCAGATGGTGCATGCGGTCTTTAAAGGGAAAATACAACATTTGCAAACATCAAAAAATAAAACTACCAAATCATTTTGAAATACCTTGCTGGACTGTTAGTGAATGACAGTGTAAAGCATCCTGTAAAATCATGGCACCTGATATACTGTCGATTTTCAAGAAAAGTGGTATTTTTGTATCAATTTCCAACGCTGGTCGGCCGACCAGCGTTTGACCATCGCACTTGTTTGCAATCGATTACACACCAGGCGCGGATCCAGGGGAGGGCCGCGGGGGCACGTGCCCCCCGTCAAATTTGAGTCCAAAAAAAAAAGGAATAGAAGGGGGAAAAAGAGGGGAGGTGAGGGAAGGAGGACGGAACCTCCTTACAAAAAAACCGGCGCCGATATTAAACATGAGTCTGCAAACATTGCGTACTCGACTCGAGAAGCTTCGAAATAAACCGCGATCCCATCGTACGTACCCGTACCGTACTACAAGTACGTACGTATGTACGTATTACCCTGCATATACCGTTATTAAATGCGATTCATTCGAACGTATATACACGATTTATTCTCTACGAACATGCAGCTTTTAATGTGCGCAACAAACACACGTTGCGCAGTGCTCTTTGGACCACACCATTGGTCAAGGGTGTGTTTTAGTAAGAACAATTTGCCAGCAGTTCCACGCGCTTTTGAATTACAAATTATACTCTTTTTTTTCACGGAGTCCAAAACATGTCCTTGTTTTAAATTGACTTCTTCAACGTCACGTCATCATATAATTTTCGTAAAGACTTTATTCGAGAAACGATGTAAAACCCTGAAAAAATTGAAACACCCCTGAAGGTCATGGATCCGTCCGTAAAACGTTTTTTTAACGAAGAAAGTTGAGATCCAAAAGTTGGGTTTGACGTTACTACGCTATGCAGAAAATATGAATCTGATAAGTTTTGTACATAAAAGAGATTTGTTTGTCTGAGGACAAAAACAATCAGCAGTTATTGCCCAAAGGCAAGTTTTAGCACTCGAGACATGCTCTTGCAAGCTAGACGGAACGCAAGTGTGTTGCTTTTTGAATGGCAAGCGAGATAAATTTGATCGTAGTTCGCCAGTGGCGCTGGCGACGCGGGCAGGCATCCGTGCCGGACCGGGAGGTATACACCTATTCTCGATGTCTATTTCTCAATGTTATCATCAACAATTATTTACTGTATTTTTTTTTTTACATAACTAAATGACGAATCCACCTTCAAAATTGTACCCTGTGGAAATTGCAATCATGGCGCCGAAAGACCCGATGTCTATTATAATGTAAAGACCAGACGCAGTGTCTCACACAATTTGTCTTGCTGCACCGCCGATCTGCCGATGGTTTATTTACAAATACATGCACGTGTAATAGGCCCTGTTCTTGAAATTGAAACTGGACTGAATTAAAAGAACATTTCTTTAAAATGTTTGGGCATTTTACATCATGCAAAAAAAGAGGGAGAAACTTGGATGACCGTATGATTAATTTCTGTAGTCATGAGATAAAACTGAGCTGTGCAGTTACAATGCAGGCTAATTGCTCCTCTGTTTTAGTTTGATTAAATTACACTAATTTTAAACTTGAATTCAATTAACATGTTCAAGCGGTTTCTTCTTGTTGATAAACTGAAAATTTCAACTTGAAACAAAACATTAGAAAGCATCCTTACACCAGTTTACCAACTAAGTTGTTACAATTCCTTTTTCAAAAAATTTAATGCACGAAGACATGCAGGCGAAAATACATGGTATGAAGTGAAGAACAGAAGAAACTGAGAAGGCTTGTAAAAGCAAGATTATATTTTAATCAATGAAAAAATCTTATAATCTTAAAACAATTTACTCAAATAACTCCGGAGAAGAGGGGCCAGGAATTGTCTCAGATTGCACCACAGAGCATCTAGAATCCAAAATTTCCCGGGGCCCTTAAGCGGGCCCCGGACCCCACGCCGAAACATGATCGCGCTCCGCATTGGTCTTCGGAAAGATGCCCTATACTCATCCTTGCAAGATACAATTCTTTTTCAAAAATAAGCACGGAAATAACTATGTAGACGAAAATGTTTGGTTGTACAAGTGAAGAACAGAAGAGACTGAAAAGGCTTGTAAACGCAAGAGTATATTATAAACCAATGAAAAACATCCTTATAATCTTTAAACGTTTTGCTCAAATAACTCAGGGCAAAAGGGGCAAGGAATCCCCTCAGAATACACCACAGAGCATCTAGAATTCTAAATTTTCCGGGGCCCTTAAGCGGGCCCCGGACCCCACGCCGTAAGACAGGCGTGATCCGCCCTGGCGTTAGTCCTCGGCAAATGCCACAACACATCGTTGCAACAGTTTACAAAACGAAGTCAATACAATGCCTTTTCCAAAATAAAAAGCAAGAAAATATAAAGACGTCAAATGGTTTTCGACTTTCAAGCACACAGTAACTTAAAAATTGTAAAAGTAAGAGTATGTTTTACAAAAATTCTTAAAATCTTAAACACTTTTGCTCAACCAATTCAGGGGAAAAGAGCCAGGAATCGCCTCAGATTGCACCACAGAGCATCTACAATCCAAAATTTCCCGGGGGCCCTTAAGCGGGCCCCGGACCCCACGCCGTAAGGGCTTCGCGCTCCGCGCTCGCATTATTTATCGGAGCAAATAATTTTGCTCCAACAGTGTGCCCCCCGTCTAAAAAAATCCTGGATCCGCGCCTGCACACCTATGAACGGGTACAAGCCAGCTAGACTGGTTCCTGACCTTACAATTCCCCAAGGTATGTAAACTGCTCTGTTTCTTCTTATATGGAGTCAGGGAACCAGACTACAGGAACATGATTGTTTTTCTTGGTTTTTATAGCATTTTCGAACCCAAAACCTCAAAAAAGTCAGTGTAACTATATTTGCTATATATTTCCAACCCCCCAATTCCATCCATTTTTGAAAATTACAGCAAAAGCAAATGATGTATATTCCCTTTAAACGTAAACTGTGTTTTTCGGATTTGCATCAACCACAGGTAAAGAAGCCCTGATCCGTTTTCTGCCGGATCTAAGTGGGAAGCTTGCCCGCAGGCGTCAACTGGGAACCTCGTGCCTCAAGGAACAAGAAATAGCCGGCCTGTACCACATGACCCAGAAAGACATCGATATCCTAGAGGAATTGAACCAAAAGTACACCCAAAAGTTTGGCTTTCCTTTCGTCCTCTGCGCGCGGGAGAACAGGGTGACGACGATTCTCGAAAAGTTGCAGGAACGCCTTGCAAACAGTAAGGAGCAAGAAATAGAACGCGCTATTGGTGAGATCAAGAAAATTTCCTGGTATCGTCTTGAAGAACTGGTTCAGAATAGTAATCTCGTTGCAAAACTTTAAAAGGAAATGAAAGTTACACCAGGCATGCAACTTGGAAGAAAAAAAAAAATGAGGAAACTCCAATCTTTACAAAACTTTGTACAGTGTTTTTCAAATTTTAAATGGCATAAGTATGAAGTGAAAAACGAGGAAATCAGCTGATCCAAGGAAAAGTTGCATGCCTGTTACACGTGTTTGAATGACCCGCCCCCCCCCCCCCAAAAAAAGGGAGGGGGCTTTTTAACATAAGTACGATTTTATATGATCTTTTATTACATTTTTTTAAAATTATGATTCATACTGCACACTGCAAAAAAATCAGAAATAGGAGACCAATGTTTCATAGAAATTAATGTTTTTAATTGTGCAAATCATTCACGAATACAGTACATTTTACTGATAATTTAGAGGTCATTTCATGGCCTTAGAAAAAATCACTAATAAACTCATTTTAAACATCTAAATGTACTCTCATCTTTTTAAACTAAACAAAATGTACTGAAAAACATTGCTTTCTAATAACAATTATTGCAAAAGTTTCAGAGTTTACTGTTTATGCTACTCCTAAGGAAAACTACGTACTTCACTGTTGCATTAGTTATGCATTGAAAAAAAAGGACCCTGCATAATATTACTTGCATATTCTTTGCAGATGATACCTTTAACGTAAACCTGGGTTTTTTTTTACTTAACGGACAAATACAATTTGGAATATTTGATTTAGGTCTTTTAAGCCAAGTTTGGACCAGATCTCTAATGAAATATTGGTCTAAGTACTACACAAAGAAAGACATTGTATAGGGGATATAACTCATTAGGAATTGGTTTGTGTTTTTTTATTAGCTTGGTTCTTTTTAATCAATGAAGCAAACATTTTCTGGTGCTCCTTAGAAGAAACGTGTGTGTCGTGCCCTCACATCCCAAAATGGGTTTATGAAAGAATTTGGGTGAAACCTCTAGGGAACACAACTTTTTCAAGGGGGCACTGAAGTTGGACTATAATCAATTATCATTTGTGTTCAACTCAAGATTTTAGATGGAGGGGGGGGGGGGGGGAACATAGTAATTAGTACTGTAAAGGGGGGATATATTCCTACAAATGTACCATAAGGGAGACATGCTATTGTAATTTCTTCGACAATAGGGAGACACTGGTCATTAGGGAGACATTTCCATGTCTCCCTAATTCCACAGCCCCCCTTTAGAGACAAAATGTTATGTCGCAATCAGGTTATATTTGTTGCTCGTGGTCTAATTAGTAAAAATACCGAAATTCGTGGAAAAAGGACAAGGGAATATTGGGTTAGGGCACATTTCAGTTTGAAAAATTGTGTGCACAAGTCTATGGGAATGTCTCCCAAATGACCCATTCCCGGTAATTATTATTATTGCTTTTATAAGTCACAGCAAATTTATGTAACTTGTTTCTAAAATAAAACTACTAAATTTATGTAACTTGTTTCTAAAATAAAACTGACTTGGGACTCTAGGCCATTTAAAACAAATGAACTTAATGTTTGCTTTCAGGATTTCTACATCATGATTGAGAGTATTTTAACGTTTATCATTTCTGCAGCCGAGTTTTATATTTGCTGCATTATCCATCGAGTGTACAACCATTTTAGACTTTATGTCCAGCACTCGTACATGATCACAGGTTTGTAATTTTGTGTTATTTAGGTTTATCATTTTGCTGTTAATGGCAATTTGTGATCACTATTTTTTGTTATGCTGTTATTTCAAGAACTTGTTTTATGGTTATGGAAACCTTGGGGTGAATTTCAATGGTTAAACATGAATTTGCAAACATGATTTTGAAAATTTTGAGACTCTAACAGTTGTATTCTATTTACACTGCTTCTGCGAAGCCGACACGGTTGTTCCCAAAGTCAAACTCGGCATAGTAACGTCCCAGAAAGACGTCCCCAAGAATCCACAGGGGGCCAAAGGGAGGAGGCACGTCCATCGGCGTAAAGGCACTCAGACAGTAGGTAGTCCCTGACACATTTTGCTACAATGAAGAAGGGGGGAGGGAGAAGAATATGATTAAATGTGTAATGGAACATTCCCAGTGGTTGATCTATGCTTGGGCTGGGGGTGTTACAGAGCTAAATCCTTCCTATTGGGCTGCCTATGCAGAAATATCATCAATGTTATGTTTTGCCCTTCACCGACATATAAACACTGTATACTCAGTGTGATACCTCCCGAGCGATTTTTTTTCCAACTTTCACTCGGGAGGTAGCACACGGAGTATTAAGTGTTTAAGTCGGTGAAGGGCAAAACCTTATATTGATTTACATCACCACAACGCAAATTCCATCTTATGTTGAATAGTTAAATGTGGTACCCGCTGCTACATGTACATCAGATTTGAACCAGCCAACCGTTCCCGCAATCCAGCAAGCTCGGTGGTCGAGTGGTAAGACATCTGCACTTGGGAGCAGGAGGTTGTGGGGTTCTAGTCCCACACGAGTGATTTTTTTTCCAACTTTATACGTCGGTGAAGGGCAAAACCTGATATCGATTTACATCCCCCAATGCAAATTTCATCTTATGAACAGAAAAATCATGCAAAATAACCCAGCAATCTTATGCGTAAATATAGCACATGCATTTTAATCCCCCCGTTGCTAAAGCCCCATGACAGCTACAGTCCCCCCCCCCCTTTTTTTAGCCAAATCTGGATCCGCCCCTGTTTCCAGGAATTGGATGTAAGCCCTGCGAACATTTCACATGGGCACAAATATGTGGGTCTCCACAATGCAACACTGCATGTTTCAGTGCATCTTGCTTTATGTGGAAATCTGGCCGACTGCCATGGCTGTCATAATATCAATTAATTGGAGACTTATGAAATGTTGGTGGCAGCATACACACCAGTCCGTTTTCCATTGCTTGCGTCATATTGAGCATGCACGCTTAGCTTGAACCTGACGTAAACAATTGAAAAAGGACCGCTGTGTGTGCTGCCACCAACGTCTCAAAAGTCTCCCATTACTGTTTTCAAGAACTAACATGCACGTGCTGCGTGCTGTCAGTTCATGAAAACCACGTAATCAATTCGGTTTCATGAACTGACACGCAGGTGTTTGCCCACAATTCATACACTGACACTGAAAAGAATAACTTTGGTCTTCACAAACTAAAACGCAAGCGTGTGGCAGAAATACAATTTTTCAGAAAACACTTTGAAAGGTTTGACACAAATGCACTCCATTAGTATACATAAAAATGTCATTAAAATAACTTTTTACTGATGAAATTAAGACCGGTTCGTGACAATGAAAATGTATGGAGTGCATGCATGTAGTATCAGGTATCAGTTTGTGGAAATTAATAACGCTGTTCTTTAAAGTACGCGGGCACTCGCGCTTAATCCAGTGTCAGTTTGTGGTGGCGGTGACGAATTATAGAGTTATTACAAAACTTATTGGGTACACTCTTCATATTTTTTATATTTTATAATTTAGTCACAATTTAGTCAACATTCGTCAAAATTACTGAAAGAATTTGACACACTGAGCATATGACAGCTCAAAACTGATCATGCTACTTGGCTTTGACCAAGCACATTGTTGTCTCTGCAAACACACGCAGTATTCCTACATGTTGCTTGACTTTCTACCCGAGAGTTCTATGTATTGCAACTAGCAGATGGTGATCGTGTTATTAAATAAAATCCAAAAATTGTTTTTAAATAGGTAAAGACGATTTGACGGACTGATGAGTTGGAGCCAAAACCTCTGTAAAACAGCTCTAATTTTCTACCAGAGCTTCATCTATCTCATTTTTAGTGTTGACTGCCTCAACCTCTCTAACAGACAGTCATTAGTCATGTCAGAAAAGTTCTCCTTGCCCCAATTTCTAATTTTCTTGCACCCTGAATAAAAAACCTGGTGAGATCGCTGAGAAATGCTTACGATCATCTTCAGTCATGTACACAATGGTACAAAATCTTCAGAACCATGACGGTGAGCTATCAGATATTTACCTTCACGACGTATTCCTTCCAGGAGAGGGGCAGCTTGCTCTGGGAAATGACAAACAGAACATCTGGCAGCTGGGAGACTGTGTCACAGTCAAACAGATACTGGGGAGAGAAATAACACCAAATTTTTACCACTTTCAATTTGAATGATATCATTAACTCATTCAACAGTTCTTTTCCTATGGTCTTTGAAGACATTGTTTGTTTCATGTATTTAACGTACTAAGAAAAAACTTAAGGGAACGTAGAGAAAAGAATTTTATTTTTCTAAGATTGAAAAAAATTTAACTCCAAAACTTTACCCTTTAATCAAATCATACAATTAGGCACAGCGGCCATATGAACTAACTACAAAAAAATTACATCACCGAGATTTAACAAGGCACACCTCGCGGTTTTCACAAAACAAAACGCGGATGGTGTGTCCATTCGTAACCAGTTGCTTTCAAACTAATGACAGTGAAGATATCTTTAGTTGGGCTTTGATTTGATCAATTTATATATTTCCTAGTCCAAAATAGCTTTTTCCACATTTTGAGAAAGTGGGCCAACTGCAGTCAAAGTATGAATTGTCTTGACTGGCACAAAAAGTGAGGTGTGCTCGAATGATATTTCCAAGTTTGAATGTTCGAATTTGTACAATTCAAACATCTGCACTTACTGCGCCAACGTCTGGGTCCAGTTGAGCTCCGAGGCGTTGGTTGAGTGCAGTACAGTCATCCGTCGGGCATGTTATCAGTGACGTTCCTGTATCGGCGATGGCCTCACAACCAGCTTTACACACAGACTGACCAGCAACTGAAACCCTGTGTAATGTACAGTTTCAAAATATTTCTATCAGAGCAATAATTTCCACATCAAACATTTTCATCAAGTAAAGGTTTTGATTTGCCAATATGACTATGATAAAGATATTTCTAAGTTATTTACATTTTATAACCCAGGTCACTCATCAAAGATTTTGACAGCTGATTTTTTGCAAACATGTTTATCAACAAAGTAAATGTAACAGTTCTGCAGGAAGAAGCAGAATAAACAAGGTTTAACAAAAAAACCAGGATGAGATTGTCAATTATTAAAAAAGTCTGAAAATGGATGAAAGGTCTGAAACATGCATGCATCTTTCTACCCCAATAATGTTTTTCTCTGAGATTAAAAAACTCTGATTTCAGATAAAAGTATGAAAAATGTCATGCCTGCACGAAACACTTTGGATTGATGAACTAAAAGGAACTTCGCTACAAAAGGTATCAACAAGTATGCCTCCTTATTTATTCACATCAGCTTCTGTTTTTCCAACAACAGATCTCCTCTCCCTTGTAATATAATCATTGGAATTTTCAATAATTAGCTATCAAATTTCGAAGCGGGATATCTTCCTACTTCTTTTCATTAACTGTGCAAATCACATTGGAATGGGTGAAAAACACATTTTCAATCTGTTGTATCTCTGGTTTGCATGAATGGAGTTTCATCAAATTTCTGCTGTGATTATTCACAAGAGTACAAACAATATACTCCATCAACATGAAATGCTGATGTTGGACACTTTTTGAGAAATTTAAAGATGTTTGCTTGCACAAGTTTTTTGGGGTCTCTATGTACATGTATGTTGGACGTCTTCCAATTTATCACCAACTTTTGTTGGAAATCTCAGGCAAGCTTTTGCTGTAAGACTACATGTACTTCACATCCATACCTAACTAGTCTTGGTGCAAGACGTCCTTAGCGGGGTAGTTCACGATAGACGGTACAGCCTTTGTACCGCGCAGCAGCGTGCATGTTCCCGTTCACGAACCACTCGGTCAACAAACGGCATGCAAAAAAACGTCTTGGGAATTTGCATAGTAACAGGGCGTAAATTAATATGCAAAATAGCAGCACATGTGCTTTGGTGCAAACAAAAGAACTGTTCCGAAAACCATAAGTCAGGCGATGTACCGTACACGTGCAATCGATATAGGCACTAACCGGTTCAGTTGAATCATGGCCACGTCCAAATTGATGAAGGGCACTGATTTTAAGCCTTCCAAGGCCCAGTTTCTTTGCTGCCAAATTGATTGCTTCGTTTACGCAGACGACATCTTTTATCCAATGGCTCGAATGCAAGCTGTACACACGTGGCTTGGAAAAGCCCAGTACGTAATACAACCAGACATGCTGAGGTCACGCAAGCATACAGATATTGCTTCAAAGTTAAAATGTCTGAGGGCTTACCCGTCCACAGCAAACTGCCAATACCCTGGCTTGGTAACGCTAGCGTATGTGAAGCTTCCACTGTAGTAACGGGGATCGGATCCACCTAGAATCAACTCCCCGCCTTGGCTGTCATTGGTGTTTCTGCAAAAACAGGAAAATGTTATGTAATTGTAGACTCATGCTGTTTGGGCATGGCGTTATGGGGGACATGGCGTTATGGGGCCCCAGTGTTGAAGGACTCGAGTCCAGGACTCGGACTCAAGTTGGACTCGAATCACATTTTTCGTGACTCGAGTCACATTGGAAAATGACTCGGACTCGGACTCGACCATGATGACTTGGACTCGGGCTTGGTGACTCGTGACTCGAGTCACGTATTTTCATCAAAAGAAAACATAACATTATTTGTGCGACGAACGTAGCATTATTTTTTTACTCCATAGACTAGACAGAACACGGTGCTGCACAAATTCGTATCCAGGGGCCACGCATGCACACTATAGCGCTTATGCACGACGAGCACCAGGGCCCGGTGTCATGGCAAAAAAGTGTCCGGTATTAAAATTAAAATTCTAGGCTTGTGACTCAAGAGTCGGACTCGGGCACGAGGCTTGTGACTCAAGACTCGGACTCGACGTTGGTGACTCGACTACAACACTGTGGGGCGCATCACAATCTGGGTTTTGTGACATGCACTTTGAAGGTGTTGAAAAAAAAATGTACCCTTTCATCACAGCAGTCAACTTTCTTTTTTATATTGTGTCGTGGATTTCTCAATTTTCTGGCTGGGGTCAAACTAGACAGTGTCTGAAGCAACAAAACTCAGGATGTGTACCTATGTTGATCTCTTCGTGCTCATGCTGATTCTGTACTGAACATTTATGTACATGTATGACACAAAGAAGAACTGAAGTAACTGTTGTGCAAGTAGGCATGCAATGTAGAATTTGATGACATACACGTACATGTAATTAATATGACAAACATGACAAAAAGTACAAGCTGTAGACCCTTCCAGGCACGCTATCACTGTACACTCATGGATCAGGAGGCCCCCTTCAATCATGTCAATGGCAAAAGCATTGAACCATGCTTTACTATAATAAATGTGCGGTTTGGGAGGTGTTAAACACTATGTTTAAGACTGGTTGGAGTCTGGAAGCCAGGGTAATAATAATCAGCATTCCAGACTCCAACCGATCTTAAACATTGTGTTTAATAACGACCCAGCACATATTAATTTCCATTCATACATACCTTTTCAGCCAAAAAATCAAAACTTTTCGGTCAAAAAGTCAAAACAAGTCAAAAATTAAAAATGTTCAACGATTTCGTTCAACAATTTTTATTTTCTGTTTTTTGAAACACCCCTCTAGCTATATAATGGAGTGTCCAGCTCACGAGTAAACATAAATTTTTTTTAAGACGTAAATTTTTTATGGACATTGGCGTACAGACGCAGCTGTGGTGAGTGCACTGTGAATTTAGGACTATGAATAAACTGACTCACTGTACTAGTAGTAAGGCGCATGCCTACGTGAGGATTGAACGTTCAACCAATAAAATGGTAAAAGACACAGGATTTTATTGGAGTCCACATTTCATGTGACATAGGAAAAGTGTTGAAGACCAGCCAGCCATGTCTTCATCATCCGTTTAAATACAGGCACGTGACAGGCTCTCAACCAATGGGAGTGGGTAAACTGTCTTAGGTATTTATAAATGGAAAACAAAATCCATCAAGTTCTGTAAACAAAAACACCTCGAAAATGAATGACAATTGTTAAGAAGCAAGTGTGAGTTTTCTGGAATGGTAAGGTCTCAGTAATCATATTTCATCCGAATCTGAGTCTTGATCTTGTCTTCATCATGTTGGTTGGTTTAACCCTAACCCCTAGAGTGATTTGCTAGGATCCTTCCTCAATCCAACAACTTCCAACACAATATGGCAGAATGTACACAAAAACTGTTGGGCTGTGTTTGTTCAGGGTATCCTAACCCCACGTAAAGCATAATCAATTTTACCAGTGCAGCACTGACTCCAACATATTCCAACAAACCCTGGTGTTGGAGTTTGAATGGATGGGGATTGTTAGGGTTAAAGTCTATGACAACAGGAACGACATCTCACCTGTCCAGGTAAAATGAAAACACTGGCTTGTCGACCAAGCCCTGCTGAATCATAGAGTTAAACACAGGCAGGACTCCGTCTGCAGCTATGCTGGGGTACCCCATTCCCAGAATGCCGTCAAAGTCCACGTCTAGGAAAACTTCCCCTGGTTCCGAGGTTGCCTCACCAAAAGTCTGGTTGACAACTTTGACAGTTTGCACCTGGCACAAAATATATAGAATATTGAAACTTTCAGCACAGAAACCTGTAAATTAGGCTTGGGTGACTCCATGCCTTAGTTGAATTATAGTTGTAATTGAGTCAGTCGCAAATCACCACAGGTCATCAGAAGTCAATCTTAAGTCGTCTCACGTCAAGTCAAGCCAAAAGTTATTGAAATGACAACAAGGCATTTCTTTGCCACTGTTCATCCCCTACTATGACTTGTGAGCTGACAACTTGTGAATTACTTGTGATGTACTTGTGACTGACTCGCTTAAAATTCAGAATTTAATAGAATGTTTAATGCATTTTTAATTTTTCATTTGGGCAAAAGTTGGACAAACAAAGAATTTAAAACATGTTATACAATGTACATGTACGGTACTTCAATCGTTTGGAAATTTTTGTTGATTCAGAACAAGAATCTTTCTTTACTTTGGTTGGTACTGCCTTGATTTTGCATGCCTGATTTTTCAATAAGAAAATTGCCAAATCTTGATATGCAAAGGCGAGGTTGAAATTCCCAGCTACCTTACTAATTCTTTCATCTCTAGACTACCAGTGCCGATGAGTGAAAACGTTACTCATGAAGTGGTCAATAACAGTCAAAATGTTTCACGTGCCAGATAAGGAAATCTTCAAGGCCCTAGCACATGGAAAGGTTGTGGTTCCAGGAATGGTTGTATTGGTCAAGTAATTTACGGTATGCATTTTCGGGTAGCGGTCATCAGCGGTCAGGTGCTCGTGTACCCGATCCCATAATCTGGAACCGGGTTCTGACATCAGCGGTCAGGTGCTCGGGGAACCCGATCCCATTATCTGGAACCGGGTTCTGACATCAGCGGTCAGGTGCATGGAACCGGGTTCTGACATCAGCGGTCAGGTGCTCTGGTACCCGATCCCATAATCTGGAACCAGGTTCTAACATCATGCAGTCAGGTGCATGGAACCGGGTTCTGACATCAGCGGTCAGGTGCTCGGGGAACCCGATCCCATTATCTGGAACCGGGTTCTGACATCAGCGGTCAGGTGCATGGAACCGGGTTCTGACATCAGCGGTCAGGTGCTCTGGTACCCGATCCCATAATCTGGAACCAGGTTCTAACATCATGCAGTCAGGTGCATTATCTGGAACCGGGTTCTGACATCAGCGGTCAGGTGCTCTGGTACCTGATCCCATAATCTAGAACGGTCCCATAATCTGGAACCGGGTTCTGACATATCAGCGGTCAGGTGCGGGTACCCGATACCATAATCTGGAACCGGGTTCTGACATCAGCGGTCAGGCACATCAGCGGTCAGGTGCTCTGGTACCCGATCCCATAATCTGGAACCAGGTTCTAACATCATGACATCAGCGGTCAGGTGCTCGGGTGATAGGGTACCCGGTTCCGATGCACACCCCTACAAGTAATCAGGGTCTTCATAATTATTTTGTCATTAAATTAATATTCCTCTTGTGATTAATGCAATCTTAGCAACTTACATCCACAATATCTTTACTGAGGAACCCTTTCATACTGCCAGTGCCGTAGCGAATCTCCAGGTCGGTGCCATTAGGGTAGTAGGTGCTGGATTTGGAATGGTCATAACGGTTGTGTTTCTCTAAATATGAACAAAAGAAAAAGTTTTCCCTTACCATGCTTACCCTCCAATGTCCATCAAAATCCAACAGGGTTTTGACAATTTGAGTATTTTTTAAGGGTACAGCCGAGTCACCATTACTTTTACATGGAGCTGGATGATCCTTGATGAAATGTTGGATTTTAGAAGATTCAGGGAGGCAAAAATGCATCGGAAGCTAGAGTTAATGAAGTCAATTTAAATCAACAGTACTGATCTTGAAAATCAAACTGTAAGTCAGTAAATCAAATTTATTGACTCAAGCTCAGGAATATCAAACAAAAATGCTTCCAAGATCTGATTCTTCAATGAAAATCAAAACTTGAGGGAAGACGTACACACATATAACTTTTGGGGACGGTTGTCTGGCTGCAAACTTTGTCAAGGGAGGGTCAATATTTTTTGCAGCTGGGGGGGGGGGGGGAGTTGCAATGGGTGCATGATGGACACACATCTGTTTCTTAGATACAATTGCAACTGTTCTACTGTTCCCTTAAAGGTAAAGTACTCCATTTGATAGCATTCAAGTATGCCGTCAATTTAAAGAAAAGAGGAATTTACCTTCATTTCCTTTCAATGGACGCTATGTTTTGCCTCAAGAAAAATGAAGATGTGAGTTTCTCAAAAAGGTTGATACTGTACATTGTACATCTATTGATAAAGCTGAAAGTTTGACAAGTTAGGTTTTTTGTAATAACCTGCTCAAGATTTAGATGTACCGGTATTGTTGCTCCTTGAATCAGCAAAAAACAAACACTTTTGGCAAATGGTTTCCATTACCTGTAAGAAGTAAAAACAGGTTTTTATGATACATCTGTAACCCATTTTTATCAGAATGGGAGTCTGAAATATCATCATTCTGCAGCAAACAAGAGGTTTTGTGCAAAACTTACGACAGGCTTGGTCACTTAGTGGGCATTCGGATGAAGGGATCCAGAGATTAGAAGAACCGGTGTCAAAGATGACAAGAAACTGCTGGGGTGGTGTCCCAATGTTGATGGGTCCATAATACTCGGCCTGTATTAAAAAAAAAAAAACATTATCAATGAACAGTGCAGTACAAAAAATACTCCACTTCGTTGTGGGTGAAAATTCTGATATCCTCCCTAATTTTGTTTTTCTGGACTTTCTGGGCCCAGCTAGACCAACATATAGTACTCTTTGAACCCTGACTAACTGATTCAATGATTGACACTTAGCCGTGCAGTGCTTGTATAGAATAGATGGCAGATATTCCAAGATGGCGGATGGACTCTTCCATTTTCTCGACTCTTTTGCTCACATAAAATTGTGTCCAAAGAAGCCACAAAACCTTGTTGGAAACAAATAAAAAGACAATACATTGACAATATTGTTTGCAGAAAATATTGCCAATCATGAATTAAAAACAAGCGGTCTGCGGACCGCAAGTGCATATTGCCCTTTTCCGTGGTCGATCCCAATTACATTTTGTGTCCTCAAAAAGCCAAAGTTTGTGCATAAATTTGTAAACAACGACCCGAAATGACCCCAAGATGACCTTTGACCTCCATTTTTGGAAGATTTGTGATGAACCCCCACCCAAGGAAACTCCTTTAACTTGTACATAAAAATCCATCAAATTAAGAAACTCTTTAAGCATATATTTGAACAATGACCTCTAATAACCCCTATGTGACCTCTGACCTCAGTGATAATATAATAATAATAACAGGTTCTTATATAGTGCTTTTAGTTAAGATCAAAGTGCTTTACATTATAGGTTTTCCTGGCTATTTTAAAACATTTTTCATTCAGATTCACCAACTCTAACATTCAATTTCGTCAGAGAAAAATTTCACATGCTTTTAAGGGAAAATACAACATTTGCAAACATCAAAAAATAAAACTACCAAATCATTTTGAAATACCTTGCTGGACTGTTAGTGAATGACAGTGTAAAGCATCCTGTAAAATCATAGCACCCGGTATACTGTCATTTTCAAGTAAAGTGGTATTTTTGTATCAATTTCCAACGCTGGTCGGCCGATCAGCGTTGGAAAAAACTGGCTTTTTTTCAAATACTGGCCCAAATTGACCATCGCACTTGTTTGCAATCGATTACACACCTATGAACGGGTACAAGCCAGCTAGACTGGTTCCCTGACCTTACAATTCCCCAATGTATGTAAACTGCTCTGTTTCTTCTTATATGGAGTCAGGGAACCAGACTACAGGAAAATGATTGTTTTTCTTGTTTTTATAGCATTTTCCCTCAAAAAAGTCAGTGTAACTATTTTGCTATATATTTCCAACCCCCCAATTCCATCCATTTCTGAAAATTACAGCAAAAGCAAATGATGTTTATTCCCTTTAACAAACCAATTTAGTAATTTACCATTCAATGAATTTCAAAGTTTGGTCACCCTTTCTAGTCATCAGGTCGAGAGTATTCATCATTTCTGATCAAATCCGTCTAAGCTGTTGCCGAATGGCAGCATTCAGAGATCAAATACGTCTTATATGTATCAATTAGACGAATTTGATTCTGAATAACACGATTTGGCGTTGACGAGACAAAATCGAATACACGGGAAGAAAATGTGTGCTCATTGTCTAAATTTGTTTGGACTAAATTTGAAATTGTCTGACAAAAGAAAATGAAACATTGAAAGTGCACAAAATCGATGTTGCTGGATGAAATTTAATATAGGAATCGGTGAATTCGAACGAAAAATGTTTTAAAATAGCCGGGAAAACCTATATTATTATTACCCCTGATCATTGGGCCAATTAAACATTCCAAATACCATCTCAGCTTTCTTGAGTTATTTATATAGTGATTCTCAATTAGAGTGATAGTTTTCCAATGCTTTAAAGTGCTTGGTAATTTGGAATTGATCAAATATGAAACTGTGATTCCTGAATGGAATGAGAATCAATTTGTAAAAAGTCAGAGTTGCCCAACTCTAGTTTCAACAACCTTTCCTATCTTCAAATCTTGATCAAACTTGACTGAAGGACAATTAGGATTAAAAGTCCTTGACCACTACAAAAGGGTTAAGACTAGAGGCCACTTTGTGTGTTTATTCAAGAATATGGAAGATCAATTATATCAACTCAAAGTCATGCACAATGAACTCGGCTGTTGTGCTCATTGCCACTAGACTACCATTGTTGTGTATCCATCATATCTTATCTTGGAACAACAAATAATTGAGACCCAGAGTAGAGAAATATTTGCAAAACAAAACACAAAATCAGGTCAGTTTAGGACAATAAAATTTTCCTAGAAGGTAAAGTTAGGTACATGAACAACAATTTCCACAAGCCAAGTTTTCATGAACTAGGCCTACAACTCAAAAAGTGAGAGAAATCAAGTGATTTAAATGTGAAACATAAAATGGCCAACTTTTTTTAAAGGATGAACTCTTCAAAATGTTCAGCAGTCTCGGCCATTTTGATTTCAACCTCCCCCCCCCCCTTTTTTTTTTGGGGGGGGGGAGGGAGGGGGAGGCGGAGCAAAAGCTGGGGCAATGTCAACAATTGTTTGGATGATTCCAACTATAATTGGGATCATCTCACCTTCCAACCCTGTCCATGTGACCTTATCAAATGAATGGTAAAAGATCCACTACTTTGGACGACGGTCTAGTGCGGCGCCTGATCAATTGATTGTACAGTATACAATGTACATACATTGCATATGATTAATTGCTTGATCATTTATGGATGGAATTTTCACCAGAATGTCATTGATGGTTAATAACCCCAACAAAATTGAACAGAAAATGAAAGATGATGAAATAAGCTTTAGCCTAACTTGATGTGTGTTTCAAACCCTTTTTGCAGAGTTGTGAGTAATTTTTCTGAATTTTTGGAGTGGTGGGCGTATGAGTGGGCGTATTCATCACTGGGGCTATGGCAGTTTATTTACTGTAGTCTGCAACCGTAGAAGTATATATGACGGGCGCGGGTGACCTCTGACCTGTGACATCACATTGTGACATGAATTCTGCATAGTTGGAATATCCCCACAAAAGTAGGGACAATGCTTGGGGTGTAAACGCTGTTCAAAACTAACCTCTCCATGACACTTGAATTGTAAACCATTTGTACATGATGTACATAGATGGCACAATGCAGTTTGGGGAGTCTGGTTGGCTCAGAGGTTCTTTACCCGCCTTCCACCACTGTGACCCAGGTTCAACTCCTGCCTGGGCCATGTACGGTAGATTGACTTTTCAGTCCCTACTTGATTCCATGGGTTTTCCTCAGAATATTTTCCTGGGATTTTCCTACCATGTCTAAAACTGTGACCTTTTCACATTGTCTTCTCTTAACTGCTCTATGGGAGACCAGTAGATCATAGTAGGCCAGCCAAATGTGGAAAAGTTCTCTAGAAAATAATTTCACGGCATTTTTTGGTAATTACACATGTACATGTAGCTGGCAATCCTTGTTAGATCAATTCTTTGAACCATAACAAACAAGATGTGGGTGGATGCCATCGGTAATTTTGACCCAGAATAAACCTAACATGCATAAATTGTTAGTACCTGCCGTGTAATATATTTGCCCCCATATTTGGGTATATTTTTTTTTTTTTTTTTTTTTGAAAATTTTATTTTGGTGATTCTACTTACATGTACACATCCTTACTTCAATAAAATTTTCTAAAGCATATAAGTGACTAAATATTTATGAGGACACAGTAACGATCCACAAGGCTAGTGCTACATTTTTCAAAAAATAAAAAATTAAGAATACCAAAACATGGGAATAAATATATTACACGGCAAGGATTTAGCAATTTATGCAAATTAGATATATTTTGGGTCAAAATTAAGGGGGCAAAATAAGGGGGGTATCCATCTACATTTTCTTCTCCATCCTTTGACTGATTGATCTGACATGCATGGTTGCTTACTATTACCAAAAATGCTGACCAAAGTGTAATATTCCATTACACTGATTACCCAGTTAAAATAAGAATTAAGTTTAGAAATAAAATAAGTGTACACAATAAGCGTAAAGTGATTCGGAGCCCGTACTGATCTGTACTTACATCGTAGTAGTTATGCAAAGGCTCTGGAACAGGGCCTCTGCTCTTCAAAAACTTGTTGTACTTTGTTTGCTGATGGCGGTAGTACTTGGGAAGTTTACCCGATTCTGTGAGTTGCTTTCGGACACTCTTGAAATGAGTCAGCTTCACTCTGTTTCAAAACAGAACCAGGAATACTCTTTGAAGCAGAAATTATAATTAAAATACCCTCGTTACCAGGAAACTTATTGGATTTTCCGTACATGAACACTCATTTTTATTTTCAGTGCTGTGAACCTGAGAATTTTTTTCCACATGTACCATTCCGAAAGTTATCATTATTTCACATATTGATGTACAGGTCAAAGAAATATTGATACTGGTAAAATATTTGGGAAAGATTCCCATATCTGGCCATGCGCATCACTAATTTTTTCCTTCAGTGACCTACATGTGTACAGTGTATAGTATCACTTCATGCCATCAGAAAGTGATATGTCCTAAAAAAGTCAAATTTAGCAGGGAAAATATTGAAGTTAAGAAAAACACTTAGAAATTTTCAGACCAGTTATAATAAAGTCTCATAAGGGTTTAATTGTGCACAGGGTGACAATTATAAGTGATGGCTTTCCCCGTTTTGGGATTCCATTCCGGAAATTAAAGCACATGTTGTTTTATAACATCTGTACTGTACAATCAAGTTTTATGTGTAAATATGCCTATAGATTTACTTTCTTGAAATTTTACAGCATCAACTTCATCCTTGAAAATGGAAGGGTAGTGGAACAATGAAACAGATTCCTTGATCTAATTTCCTTAAATTATCACTAAAAAAAATATATATTTGCAAAAAATGTTGTAACCTGACACCACTTTTCATCTCAATGAAGGTCAGTTATTGCAAAAACGGATAAGACATGAATCTGGGACTGACAAACATTTCCAATTTTGTTAAGAAATTTTGGAAATACATGTAGGCCTAGCCCTACTGAAAAATGTTCTTGAGAATGACTCTCCATACACCTAACACTGCAATAGACATGATAGACTTTGTGCACAACTGCTGAAGTGGCGTCAATTAATAAGTTATCGTCAGACGAGGATATGTTTTGACGCACTCGCAACAATTTGCGTTGGACAACGCGCGCGGGTTGCAAGCGTTATCTGCGTCAATTATGGTGACTCGATCGAGGATACAACATTTTTCCCAAAGCCACATTGACAGAACGGCAGAAATTATTCCGTGCTGTCGTAAATCTGAAACCATGATGAAGACAATTCCTACCTTGTAATGCACATTCCGTCACAAAAGCAAGGCACGCCAGCACGGCGATGCAGTGGAGCCAGACGGTCATCGCGAGCCGTGAAAACCGTCGTGTGGTCGGTAGACTGGATGCCGGGTGTGGCACAAACCCAGAATCGTAACTTCCTCTGCTCTTGCTGAACAAGCCAGAACACAAATACGGTTTAAATTGAAACTAACTCGTGCAGTTGGAGTACAGTACTTCTCTTTTCGACAGATCGAGGTCCAGTCCTTGAATTGACACACCCTGCAAACTGCATCGATGGATTTTTTCTGTACGCACGTGTCATACTACTGTCATTGACAAAATCACGTGTTCCTGCGTTCACGGAATTAGATCACGTGCAAGTTACTATACCGTAGTAAACGACTGCTTCATGTATAGTACAGTAAACGACTGTTTCATGTACAGTACATGTATTTGCAAAATAAAGCCGGAAAAATATAGACTGTCTATCCTCTACTGTTGCTTTCAGTGTTTGGTTTTTTTTTTCCTTTTTTCTGCAGTTACAAAAAACCGGAAATAGTAGAATTTAAAGTTTGTCAAAATAATATTTTAGCGGGGGCAATAATTTGTGGCTGGTACGCAGTGGCGTCGCCAAGGGGGGGGCCAGGGGGGGGCACGTGCCCCCCCCCCCCTGGAAAAACTAGTGCCCCCCCGAGTGCCCCCCCCATCTGCGATTTGGGTTGTATAAAAAAA